GATATCTTGAAAACGGCTATAGATCATAGAAGACTCAACTGGAGAAAGAGTTGCAGTTGCCATCCTCTGGCCAGGAGGAGGATGGTCATGAGGTGGTACAGGCAGATCCAAAACAAAGGGTGGGGCATCCATGATGCTCTGAGAGGCTAGGAAGATGTTAGTTTCACTGTCCAGAACTGAGAGTTTCCAGCTGGGGACTCCTACTGCTCACTGAGGATAGGATTCCGTGGCACTTCCTGTGGGCCACTTACAGGAGTTAGGGTACTGCATATCCACCTCACCTCTCCTAGAGATCTGCTGAGTGTTGAATGGCAATGCCTGAAGCCCTCTCCTAGAACAGGATCTGACCCACCCAAATGCACGACTTTACATGGCGAGCCTCAAGGGTTTCACTAGTCAGTCTCCACAAATCCCTACAGCCAGCATTCAGAAAACCCCAAAGGAAAAAAAAAAGTGGGGGAGCACCCTGCCCCAAAACCAAAGGACAAAGGCAATGTCCTTCTGCTCTGGCTCAGGTAGATCTGTCTGAGAGATGAGCTCCTGGAGGGTCCTGAGTCAATGCAGTTGAGGGGAGTGGTTTAACACTTGTGCTCTGCCTGCGGTATCACCTGACACCCTGAAGGTGGATGTCAGCCACGTGCTGCTGTTGTGATGAAACTTTGAGACTGACTTTATAAAGCGTGGGCTAACCTACTCCCCAGATGAGAGGAGAAACACAAGTTGTTGCTTTCCAAAGGTCAGATTGCACCACAGCCCAGGCATACCTCAGAGTCTGGTTTGCTCATTCCCAGTAAGGCTGGAGCAATTAGGGATTGTCTTGTTTCTCCCAGAGCTACACGCCTTTTGCCTTTTCTATCGAGTTAGATAGGCCAGACTGGCTCTGCAAACCTCAAGACACTGTCTCTAGAGGAGGGCAGAGCTGCCTTAGGGGCTCTCTGGAACTGAAAGGCGTTCTCCTGTGGTTCCGATAAGATTACCCTGTTGCTGAGCCGCCAGCGTTCAGATTTCCCACGGAACCGCGGGAGCCAGGCTCAGGCTCTCCTTGCTGTGGGCAGCCTGCTGCGGATCAGTATCTGAAATCCGACTCCTTCAACTCAGCTCCAGGAATGCTCTCAGCCCTCTGAGATAGGGCCGAGTCCTGACAGCAGCGTGCCTACCCGAAACTACTCCTGTTCTCACAGCCCAGCAAATGGAAGATGTCTGTTAAATGGAGCCAGAGTGACTTTGAGGGTCCCACCCAGTAAGAGCGAGAGAGGATGGGTATCCCCGCTAGCCCACAAGTCCACCCAGCCTCTCTCCCTCTTCAGAGACCGAATAGTTTCCGCTCTGATCCCCAGCCTCAACCAGCACACCATGGCTCAGTGACAGGATGAGGGACAACCAGGTTCACAAGGACATCCCCAAGTAATCTTTTTATTTTTCTTCCCTAGACTTGGAGTTTCCAGTCCAATAAATAAATAAAATAAAAACACGGTAGAGGGTCAGACTGGATGGTTCGATGGATAAACGTACTTGCTGGGTCTACCCGGGTTGGAAGGGGAGAACTGACTACTGAAAGTTGTCCTCTGATTGTCACATGCAAGGTGTAGCGTTGGAGATCCCACACTCACGAACATACACAAGAATAATAACAATTGAAAATACTTAACAAGGTAAAAACACATGAATTAAGACATAGGCTACAAAATGAATACATCATACATATTTCAGTATATACACACATGTACACACACACACACACACACACACACACACACACACTCATATTGCTGATATTGTGAGAATGAGAAGATAGCCCCATTTCGTGTGTGTGTTCTTTAGACACGGTCTCACAGAGCCCAGGCTGGCCTGGAACTTAGTATGTAGTTGAAGATGATCTTTAACGTGACTCTGCCGCTCCAAGCTCCCATGTGTTGCAATTAGAGGCCTGACCATCACACCCTGCTTGATCTCTCTCTCTCTCTCTCTCTCTCTCTCTCTCTCTCTCTCTCCCCCTTCCTTCCTTCCCTCCCTCTGCTAGGGATCAAACCCAGGGCCTCATATATGCTATGCAATAGCAGATGGCTTCCTGCTTTCCCTCTAGCATATGGTCTTGACTCTTTGCTTCTTTACCCTTTGTCTTTTTCTTGGAGTCAGACTACATCCTAGGTCTCAAAGGGGCCCCTTAGCCTGAGTGCCTTGCTTACTCATGGGCAGCATCTAGCACCTTGCTGTATCATGGCTACCACCTCACACATCCCTCAGTTTCCTACTCTCTGTAGAGCAGACTCCAGATCCATTCATGGCCTGCCCTTCAAGGTCTGAAAATGGTAAAATTAGAAGAAGGTACTAGTTAGGAGCACAGCTAGGCAAGGAGATTTTGTATGAAGAAAAGGCAACGTCTTCTGGATGGCTTACATTTCAGCTCCCGAAGGCTCACCCACCTGGCTGGTGGCTCCTATGCTCATGGGTTGCATGGTTTTATCTTCTTACTTTCATTTTTCTTCTTTTAATGACTGCCTATCTTCCCCTCCAACCAACTGCCCTGCCTTCCTGGTGTGTTCTCCCTGCACCTGTCCTTGTGTTTCTCTAACTGACTGCTGTCTCTTTTTCAAGGTTCTCCTGAGTGGCATCAGCCCTGGCCTGTACAAGTCATGCTTGCAGAAGCGTTCACTTAGCACACACCAAAGAGTGATGCATGACAGGATATTCATTGGGATATGGATTGGGAGTGTTTGAAAGGCAGTGGTCAAGTGCCACCTTGTTTTGTTTATTCCAGAAAGAACCCTGTAGGTTGAGGTGTGATTAATGTGTGTGATATGAAGATTTTTGTAACATTTGCAGCAGGTAAGTGTGGGTTAGAGCGCTAGAGCCAAGTCCTGTAGATTAGGTTTGAATGCTCGATATGGGGACATGATGTGACTTGGTTTCTTCTCAAATAAAGTAAGCAGCTCCTTCATAAGGCTGATTCGGGACTCCTAGCTGCACTCATGAGCAGGTAATCTACCTATCACAGAAGTTCATGTCCTCTATTCTTGTTTCTGCTTTATGTCCTCTAGCAGTGCTAGCTGTTGCAGTGTTTTGGCTTGTTTGTTTGTTTGTTTGGGCTTTGCCAAAGAAACTTCAAAAGCAGTGACTGCCACCAGCAAGCCTATACCTCAGGATGGCTGTAAGCAGATCTGCCCGGCATTGTGGTTGACTAGGCAATCTCTCCCTGTGTTGGTCCAGCATTTGGCACACAGGAATTTGGCTATCTCCATCCAATCCCTTTTCAGTGGTTGCATAAATCAAGCTTCTTGATGGGAGAGCCTTCTCTTCTCATGCCTCCCGCCTACCAAGCAACACAGGAAGTTGCTGGGCTGGTATTTTCAGGGCCTTAGACTCCCTCTGTTTCTTCCACAGCTGAGGGAAGAATGCGTGTCCCTGTAGAAGGAGTGTCTGTGTTTCCCTAGATTAAAGTTAGAATTTGCATTGGGCCGTCAAGCAGCAACCTGCTTTAAGTCCTTCGTCCACTTCGGTTCTACCACTGATCCCACAAACTCCCAGCTCGGCACCCAAAGCACCCTGAGTTCTCCCTGAGGAGGACATTTACAAGTACAACGGTTTCTTTGTGGGTCTGTCCCCAACCAGCAGCTTGAGTGTCCCTTGGGCCATCTCCATCCTCTGTCCTGAGGCGGTAGCCAGCTCAGAGAACCCTATTGCTTTGAGTTTGCTGGATCTGGAGTAGACTTGAGAGCCTGTCTGCAATGCTCTGTGGTCGGTCTGTCAACCTTAACCCACTACTTCTGACTTGCAGATGTTACTACACAAGGTCCATCTTGGACCCCAGCGTCCTAGGTACTCAAGTCCCTCAGAATGCAATCCTTGTTTCTTAATGACAACTGGCTGAGCTGAATATCCAGGACAAACCTATTATTCTTTTAGAGATGGCAAATAGACGGTGAAGCGTAGGGAAGGCCAGTGGGCTCAGGCCTGAAAGGGACCCCACTTCTGTGTGCTAGGATCACTGCAGACCATGGTCTAGGGAGGAGCAGTTTCCTTTGGAGTGGGAGTGGGAATCACCTTAAAAGCCTGTGACATTTCACCGTCTTTCCCCACTTTGAAAACCCCAGGTCCTGCTGAGATTGGTTAAGATGAAATAAAAGGTCACAGTTTCTCTTTTGTGGCACTATGGCTTGAACCTGGGGCCTTGCCCATACTGTGCCTTGGAGCCCACCTGTAGCTGTTTGAAGGAGGGCATTGGAAGTCTGTAGATGTGGAGAAGGTAGCTCGGTGAAGGAACACTCCCAAGTTACTCCTCAGAAGGAAAGCAGTGGCGTGGGTTCCACTGAGGTGGGAAAAGTGCAGGGGAAGTCCCAGCCTCCTCTCAGAAGCGCCTAAGTCTGAGACTCCTCCTGCTCACCCCCTCATATATGGCTACCACACCCCAAGGTGCACACAACCTCAGAAGGCATGACATCCTGGAGAGCCTCTAGTTTCTCAGAAATAAGTTTATTTAGCTGACGATGAAGAGAGCTTTTCAGAAAGATATGAAAGAAGATGTGACAGGCACAAGGGACACTTCAGTAGCAAAAGAACAACTGGTCTGAAAGGCCATGCTGCAAGTGACAGGGGAAGCCATGCCCTCAGTCCCAGCCTCAACTACCAGTTTTTTCTTCGTGCCTTTGAGTCAGGCTTGCTGGAGTTTTTGTTTCGGGGTTCTTGGCTCACACCTTCATCGGTTTATGACCTTAGCTGTACCTAACTTAATTTTCTAAAAAGCACGTATGTGCACAGTCAAAACCTCCGAATCCCTAAAAAGGGACCCCACCCCCACCGCCCTGCCCCTTCCTCTTGAGATCCTTTCCTGACAAGCCCATTCGTAGGTAGAGTAGGGACCAACCTCTAAAGTTGGTCTGGTGACTTTGGAGCTGCGTGCTGTCCCTGCTGTGCGACGGGGACAGGAGGACAGGAGCGCCTTGCCTCACTCTCCCCTCAGCCCCCACCCCCAATCCCACCCCAGAGACTCCACTGGTCTTTACCTCCATATCCTCCAGGTAGTCCTCCAGCGGCGGGGGCGCCCGCGCGCTCGCTCGCTCGCTCGCTCGCTCGGGCAGTAGCTCGCGATCCCCGCTGTCCTCTCCGCTCCCAGCCCGGGCCCCTTTCGGGCTGCAGCGGGCACAGGGCGAGTGGGCGGCGGCGCGCCTGGCTGCGCTCGGCTGCGGGACTGCCCCGGCCGGGGGGCCCTGCGCCAGAGAACGAGGAAGGAGGAGGAGGAGGGAGGGACCGAGGGACGCAGGAGGAGGGGAGGGGAATGGAGGGGAGCAGGGAGGGAGGCCGGATCGGGGTTTAAATTTAGACACGAATCTAAACAGATACTGTCCCTCCCAGGGAAGGACTCAAGAGCCCGAGCCATGGCTCCATTAATCTGCCCAAACATGGGCTGGGCAGCGCCGCGCCCCCTTTCTCGCGAAGTTTCTCAGGACCCCGGCCGAGCTTTGCACGTTTTCAGACCGCATCAACTCTCCCCTTTAGCCTGCTTTCTTTATTTTCCTTGCCCCTCAAATTAGAATTGCCTTTTCATTCTTTTCCTCCTTGCCATTTCCTTCTTTTCATACCCATCTTTCCAGCTTTGTCCTCTTCCCCTCCAAGTCCTTCCTTTTATTACTTAACAACGTACCTAGCTCTCCTGGATTCAGTATCCTAATATGAACACCTTTGTTTTGACGCCTCTTTTCCTGCCCACTTTCCAGGATTCCGTTTGCAGGAAACAACTATCAGTTTGTAGATCTGTTATCTACAGAAGGAGGAGGGGGAGAAAGAGGTGGAGGAGGAGGAGGAACCCAAGCAAAGTTTTCCAAGTTTCCTATAGCATCGGGCTTCTCTTCGCATCTGCGCTGATGCCTGCATTCCTGGGGGTTTGTGGGAATATCTGTCCCGTAGGCTGCTTGCTAAAGACCCCTTTCTCCATTCCTATTAAACATAGCAAAGGGCACGGTCCTAAACATCCGATTTACATAAGGCCCAGCTTAGCAACTCTCCCCAAGGGAGGTCGGTTTGTACAGCAAAAAGACTGTGTGGGAGGGATATAGCAACTTTGAATCTGTGCCAGTCATTGTCTCCTACTGGATTATAGCTTTAGGTGCCCCTCTGGATCCTATTTCCAAGGGGGAAATGTCTTCAGGGGGACTGGCTGATGCCTGTATGTCTTCTTATAGCATCCCTCAATTTTGTCCTCCAAGCCAGGACCTGCTGCTTTGCAAGGGAGAGAGAGAAAAACAACATGTTGCCGGACCATTGGACAGGTGCACGTTGGTGCTTGCTGCACCTGTGCAAGGAGCCCAAGAGAAACCACTACCAAAACCAGCAGAGAACTCGCCCATGCTGCAAAAGGCTGTCCTGACTGTTTCTCATCACAGTTGGTCTGTGGACTTTGAGGTCACAGGCCTTCTAAACCTTACTTTGTAAAGCATGATGTCAGGGCAGACTCTAGTTCATTGAACTCAGGGAGCATAGGGGCAAGAACTCTGCTTTTAGAAGCAGATGGAGGGTTAGGCTCTAGTCCGCTTTTTAGCTGAGTTCCTTTAGAAAAGCCCACTTATCTGATTTTCATGTGTGGCGTCTTTATAGTGTAGTCACCACTCTGAAAAGAGAAGCTATTTTAATAGTGCTTAGTTTCCTGCACAGGGTCTAGATGGATAAGCAACCCATAGTCCTTTTTATCTAGAACCTGGTATTCTGGGGTTCCCAGATTCTATCTACACAGCTGCAAGGAGGATTCTAGAACAGATATGGAAGCAAGAGAGGAATGTCTTGCTGATCTTGAATTTTCCATCCCCCTGCCTCAGCTCGCTGACACTGGAGTGACAGGTGTGTGCCTCCAGGTCAGGCTGACTTTCCCCTTCTTCTTAGAGCTGGGTGATCCTTTCCACTCAGAGACAGCGGCACGAGTCTTTCCTACTCCACAGGCAGGAGGGCGGAAGTGCCTACCCAGAAGAAACCGTTAGGCCCAGATAATGTCACAGCCACCAAGGTGATGTGCAGCTGCTCTCCCGCCCCACCCTGCACGGGGCCTCCCTGGGCTGAGAACAGATGATCCACAGAGCAAACACCACAGCTTCTTCATGTTCCTGGCACCAAGTGCAAAGTAGGTGGTTGCTCCAGAGCTCTGTCCCAGCAGGGAAGGGGTAGAAGGGAACATGGAAATTCAGCAATCTGGAGTGTGTGGGGGATGTACTCTCCCTTATCCTCCCTCCCACCTCTGTAGAATATCACCAGAAACCAAATGGAGACAGACAGTCTGGTAACCACTCAGCTCTTCTGACAGTGAAGGGGAAGAGAAAGTGGCTGTCTGAGTCCTTCTCTCTCCACTTTCCAGGGTCTAGCTGGCTCAGAGGGACACACTTCCTCTGCACTCAACCCGGGCTTCCCCTTTACATCCTCTGACAGATCTAAACCAGTCAAGCAAGAAACAGAGGCAAAGCTATGGAATACCCCAGATGCAGTTTGGGGCAGGGGAGGGTCGGGGAGGGAGGGAGAGGAGGAGCCCGTGTATACAGGCAGCCCTCACGCACAGGTTGTCAACAAATATTTGATGAATGACTGTGTGGAAAGATGAAAGAAGGTAGAGCAAAGCAGATTGGCAGGATCTATGCACGGAAATAAAAGGCAGAGTTATCAATGATTACACTGTTACCTGTGTGACCTCCTGGAAGAGACGATGGTCAAAAACCATACATAGTAACCAGATTGATCACAAGCGGAAATGCAAAGGGCTCCAATTAGTGAACTCTTTGTAAGTGGTCTTCTTGTGCTGCTGATCACGTGACTAATTAATTTATAAATCTGACATAGGGTGTCTTATAGTTTCATTTCTGTCACTGTAATAAAATTCCATGACCAAAAGCAACACAGGGAGGTGGAGTTGTGGGCTTACAATTCTAGGTTGCAGCCTATTATTTTAGGGAAATCAAGGTAGGTACTTATAACATCACACTCACAGTCCAGATCACACACAATCCTTGCTTGCTCTGCTAGCTTTCTTCACTGTTACACACTTCAGGCCCAGCCAAGAGAATGGTGCTGCCCACAGTGGGTCAGGTCAACTAATAAGACAATCCTCCCACAGGCGCATGCCCACAGGCCAAGCCCAGCCAAGTAATTCCTCTTGAAGACTCTTCCCAGCTGAGTTAAGGTTGTGCCAAGTTGACAGCAAAGACTAGCCAGCATAGTCTCTCTGTGTCCAAGACTGGCCTCAAATTGTAATTTACCCATCTCAGAGATGTGATCACAGGTGTGTACCACCAGTCCTGGCTCGATTGTCTACTTTTTTGTTGTTGTTGTTGTTTTTGTTTTTCGAGACAGGATTTCTCTATGTAGCTTTGGAGCCTATCCTGGAGACCAGGCTGCCTCGAACTTGTAGAGATCCACCTGCCCCTGCCTCCCGAGTACTGGGATTAAAGGCATGTGCCACCAACACTCTACAATTGTCTACTTTTAATATTTAGGGCAAGAAGAAATATTTCTTTTGAGACGGGGTTTCTTTATGTGACAGCTTTAGCTGTCCTGGAACTAGCTCTATGGACCAGGCTGGACTTGAACTCACAGAGATTCCTCTGCCTCTGCCTCCCAAGTATGGGGATTAAAAGCGTGTACCACCACCACATATATACGCAGGCCAGAGACAACTTTTGAAAGTTGGTTCTCTCTGTCCACTGCATGGGTTCATGGGGTCAAACTCCGGTCATCAAGCTTGGTGGGGAAGCACCTTTACCCACTGAGCCATCTTCCTAGCCCCAGATTACTTTCAATATCTATGATGATGTAAGTGCTGTGTCAGTAGTTGTGCTGTTTGGGAAGAAGGAGAAAGGAAAAGTTTGTGTGAGATCAATACAGACACAATTTGTTTTCTGAGTATTGATTGAATCCATGGATGCAGAATCACAGTTACAGAGTGATGACTGTCTCCATTTCATCCCTAAATCTCGGGAATGTAACAAAATAAGGTAAATGGAACACCTAAAAGTCCCTGATTCATTCTGCCACAAAGAAGGCTTGGGGGATTCGTGAGAAAGGCTCTCAACAGGCTTGTAGAGCCGTGTCTCTGTGGAGATCCCAGAGGAAAATCATCCATAAAGTCAAGAAGGGTAGGAAGAAGTTCCCTCACTGAAGTGGTGATATTCAGAGGCAGAGGTGGGCAAATCTCTGTGAGTTTGAGGCCAGACAGATCTACATAGCAGTTCCAGGCCAGCTAGAGATCCATAGAGAAAGCCTGTCTTAAAAACAAACAAACATGCAAAATTAGAGGGCTAGGAAGGAGCCCTTGGTGTTGCACTGAGGAAGCATACAGCCGAGAGCTCACAGTTTTCAGGCTACAGACATGGATGCATTGATAAATGTGTATGTGTGCATATGTGTATTTTCTACTTCGATACACTGGGATGGCCCAAGAGCAGTGTCACCCCAGAAACAGCAGCACGCAGCCCACACCTTTGTTTTTTTACTAGTCTGCCCTAACACAACTCTTTGGAGAAAATGGGCAGCATCCTACTCAGTAAGAGAAGCCCAGAAATACGGAGGTTCTCCTTAGATCATGGGGAGACAATAACATAATACAGAAAGTAGTTTACCTGTGATAGTGAAGTAAGTGACTTTATAGAGAAGAAAGTTCACAAGTGCTATGTTGGAAGGCAGCTATGCTCACCACTATACCACCAACGCAGGCTACACAAGTGCTATATTGATCAAGTGACCAAACACCACTAGTGAGGGGACAAACCATATCCTGTGCTGCCTGATTAGATGCAGAACACACCATTGCTTCTGTGATATTTTGACCAAAAGGGACCAACCTGAGTCTAATCAGAAGAAACACTGCACAAACAATAGGAAGGCTGTGGTGATATATTGTTTATGATCTAATAAAGCCATTGGGGATCAAAATGCTACACACAACCATAGAGCCAGGCAGTGGTGATACACACTTTTAATCTCAGCAGCCACACTAGCTAGCCATAGAGGCCAGGAGGTGGTGACACACACTTTTAACCCCAGGACTCAGGAGACAGAGGCAGATGGATCTCTGTGAGTCCAAGACCACCTTGGCCACACAAGAGTGCATCAGTACAAAAGAGTAAGAGCTCACACCTTTAATCTCAGCACTTGGGAGGTGGAGACAGGAGTGATATGGTGGCCGGAGAAAGGAATATAAGGCAGGAGGAAACAGGAACTCAGCATTTGCCTCTGAGAATTCTGAGAGCCAGGATGGCCATTTCAGCTTGGTAGAGGTAAGAGCTACTGGCTTGGCTGCTCTGCTTCTCTGAGTTTTTATTATTCATGTTACAGAAGGCATTTCTCAAAATGGCTGGTCTACGATCTTACAAAGAGTCTATGTCAGTGTTAAGGAGAGGCCCAGGAAGGGCTCTGATTGGAGCAGGTTGGAGATACATGGCAACTGGTTTAACCATGCAGTTTTAAGTTGGCTCCTTTGACTAGAAGCATGTTACAAAACTTGTGAAGA